TGTTTGCTCTTAGACCGCTTCACGAGAGAAAAGGCATTTGGACTGGTTGTCTCTAGGACTATGGTGATTGAATCCGTGCAGACATGCAAAGCTCCAAATAAATTGGTATTACATTTGCAGTCCACCTATTGTCTCAAATGGTGATGGGAACATTGTTCGTTTTGCGCTGGAAACTTCTTCTATTTTAAAATCTGAGATTAGCGCTGGCTCTACATTAAAATTTGTCCTCACATAGAAGGAAGAATTAATTGCTTCAGGAATATTTGCTACAATCACAAATATTCTCAGCCTCTCTCCAGTTCTAGGATCTGAATCCACATAAATAAAAGCTCTGTGAGTGCAGGCACCTTTGTTAACACCCCAGGGAGTTTCTAGAACAGTGTGGACCCCTCAGGGACCAGCGGACATTTGTTAAAGGAAAGAGTAGAGAGTTGCTGTAGGATCCCCAGGCTCTGTCTCTGTGGCCTGTTCTCTTCAGAATATTGTCAGCGACTTGGCTCACAGCAAGACTGTGTCTTCAATCTATGGTTAACACAGATAGACTTCAGAATGAAGATCAAAATTACCCTTGACAGGATGGAACCATGGTCCCAAACTAGCTAGATCAAATTTCACAAGAGTGCTACTGAAGTCATTCATTTACTTTTCAAAACATGTATCTCTTGAAGTCAAAGCAGAAACTGGTGTGGGTAGCACACAATGCAGGGCATACATTCTGACTAGACTCACCCAACAGCAGACTGTATGTGTGGAAGTGAACTATCAGAACACATCTCGAGTTCGAGTTGCAGATTTTACAACAGACATTATTAAGCAAGAGCTTATTTAAGACACAAATGTATAAGACACAAATGGTCTGGAAGCCCTACCCCATGAGGGCTCACTTCAGGGATCTGGGGAGTTAGGCTGGAGAGTAACAGGCCTGGAGGGTATGAGACAGCTGCTTTGAAAGGGGGTTGTTAGACTGACTGTATTACTCCACGGAGCAGAGCTATGACCAACAAACAGAAACACTAAAATAGGTTTGACTCCTAATAGAATCATTTTCTAAAAGGTATGATATGTCCTGTCTACAGCGGAGTAGGTCCATGTCATATAAGTGTGTAAGCCCTAACTAGATGGCCTTCTATAAGGAATGTTCCAGAAGGGATTCCTGTACTGGATGGTGGATGGCACCATCCTGGCTTCCTACCCTGCTTCCTGTGGAGTGACTGTGGCCCACTCTCAAGTGCAGACAACCCACCCAGCTCCCTGTTGTCCAAATCCAGCTGCTCACACACTGGCTACCGCCCAGCTTCTGGAGGCAGTTGAGTTTGCATAATCTGTAATGTCACAGAATTTTCTACCATTGGGAGACAGAAGAGAGGGGGACTTGGCAAAGAAATAGGTAAAGCAGAACAGTAAAGAAAAGATGAAGATGGTAAACCCCAAAGAGTCTAAGAATGAACCATTTCTTTGGCTTGACACAATTCCAGAGTACATCACACCCCTAAGGCTCCTGTTCTGTTCCCCTGCCCTCATTTATATTGCAATCCCATAGGCTTTTCCCCCTGAGCCTCATAACTCAGACTAAGTTATGTGGAAAACTTGCCTGTAGGATTCAGGAGCTCTTATTACCAACCCAGTTTCCACAAGCAGCTTTCCCATTGCTTTTTCCTACAAGACTGAGCCATCGGAGATTGGCAAGGCCCTCGCTCCTCCTTGTTGTGGTTGGTGTAAGGCTGCCACCTGGTGATTGTTCGGACAAAGTGCCTGAGGCATCTGTCTCCTCCCAGGAATGTTTCCAAAGGTGAATGGGTCCTTCCCAGGTAGGATCCACCAATCTGAGGAAAGTAAAATCTAGTTCATACTACTATTACTAATTATGCTCACTAATGAAATGGAATGATATTAATAGTGATTGGGTTCTAATAAATATTAAGATGCTCTGCAGCAAAAATATGTGTGTGTGTATATATATACACGTATACGTTTTATGTCATTTTACCATATGCATAAATATTCATGTATATATTATTGGATGTGATCCTCATCGCAACCCCACAAGTAAAATACGATTACCATATTCATTCTTTTCCCCATGAGGAAACAGGCTCAGCGAGCATAGTGACAGGTCCAAGATTGCACAGCCAGGAGAAAGGAGAGACTGGAGCTGAACTCAGCAGATCCAGCTCCAGGTTTTCAAGATGACAGTTATGGAGCCTACCTGGATCTCAGGAGCTTACTGCATAGAGAAGTTATGGGATTGCCATGAGAGGGAACCAGCAGCTTAAGGAGCAGGACAAACTCATGCAGGGGTGGGCAGTTCTTTGGAACAGGACCCACCCAGTAGGGGAGGGTTTGAATAACAAGATCTATCAGGGAAAAGGACTGGTAGGCATAAGGTGGGAAGCCAAGGCCCCAGTCTAGTGGAATCATAAAGAGCTATGTCTCCTTGGGCATAGTAAGTGTATAGGGAAAATCCCACGGGAGGTGAGAATGCTTCTAAAGTTCTCCCAGTCTTGGGCTCATTTCAGGAACTGGGCTGGGTTGGCTTGGGAGTGCTGGTCCTACTTGCGACCACCAGATGCCAATTTATCTTCCCCAAAGTCAAGACCCATCTGAGTACTCTGTCCTGCCAATGCTCTGTGAATTAGGAGGTTTTGGAAGCTGGCGGTGGGAACATGCATTGTTCCAGGTCTGGGGGAGTGTTGGGCATTGAATCTTCGAATCCTTTCCAATGCTCCTTTCCACGGTCTTGTGAGTTTTCTTGCATGCATGGCTGATCAGTATTTGGCTGAAGACTCAAGAGGGACCCTCGAGTTCTCTCTTTGTGCAGCTCTCTCCTTTCTCCCACCCAACGCTGTGGACTCCAGCTGGCTCAGGCTCTCCAGACTCAGTTCTGTCTCCTCAACCCAGGGAGTCTGCCAGGGTCTGCCTGCTTCACTCCCCTGCAGCCTGGCCTGTGAACTCTCTCAAGGCAGGAGGCTGGGTCATTGTAGGGCTCCTGTGATTTTTTCCTGCCTGTCAGGGTCTGCCATCTTTAATCACCCAATGTCCATTTTCTTGAAACCATGTTTTCATATACTTTGTCCAGTTTTTTAATTATTTCAGGAGGTAGGGAAATCTAGTTTTTATTACTTCAGCTTGCCAGAAGCAGAGGTCTTATTTAGGTCTATGACTAGCAATTTTTTTTTATGTTTTACCCTTAATTATGCAGTAAGAATAGCTATGTCCAAGAACATGGTTTTCTCAAAACTTTGCTTGAATTTCTTTCATGTCCCTAAGATTCAGTATTAAAAATGTATATCCTCTGGGTTTTAGTCTTTCATTTTATTTGAAGGGAATTCATGAATGTGGAGTTCCTAAATTTTAATTCTACAAATCTAAGCTTTTTTCCTGTTTACATTGACCTCAGGGGGTAGGAGGTATAGCTGGGGTTTGGGCTGATAGACCACCTCTGGGACCTCATGAGTGTCTATGAACCAGGAAGCTGACTTTCACCAAATACTGAATCTGCTGGTGCCTTGATCTTGGACTTCCATGTCTCTCCATGGGACCATGGGACCATGTCTCTCCCAGTGGTCTTTGCTCAGACACATGGCTGGTGAGGCTGGAGAGAAGTCCTGTGAGGAGAGGAGGCGCCGCCCTTGTTAGTGCTGCTGGCCTTGAAGGCTGGACCTAGAACACAAAAGGAGAATGGAGTGTCTGTGTGTTTTTTCCTCTGAATTCTTCTGCAGCAGCTGTTCTTCAAGCCAAGGCAAGTTCCCTACTTCTCATCTATGTACCACACATCCAAGCACTACGCCCACCAACCAGCAGCCTTTTCCTTTCCACCTACCCCCAGTCTTTTCTACCAGGACAAATAAGACTCCTCCTGCTTTTTACAACATAAGGAAGCTCTATTCCAACCACCCTCTTCCCAGGAGACTTCCTCTTCTAGCCCATAAAGTAGTATAAAGGGAAGCATTTCTCATTCAGAAGAGAAATCCTACAGTTTAACCAGTAGCAAGGTGACTCCCTAGCGACCTCCCATTCCCCCCACCCATTAAGAAGAAGTTACAAATGCAGGATTTCAAGATGCTGGTGCTTACAGTCGTTACCTGCCCACATGTAACATCGTTCTTCTCTGCCCCTTCCAGCCTCTTGAAATGGCCAGAGCAGCGTTCTAAAGCATGACACGGGCTTGTCCTATAAATAGAGTCCAGATGAGGCTTGTAAAGAGTTCCTACCCAACACTTAGTCAAAAGAAAAAGAATGGCTATGTCTGAGTCCATTTGGGGCTGCTGTTGCCGTGTATGCCATGAACCGGGTGGCTTATAAGCAACAGAGATTTATTTCTCTCAGTTCTGGAGGCTGGAAGTCCAAGGTCATGGCACCAGCAGATTCGGTGTCTGGTGAAAGTCAGCCTCCTGGTCCAGAGGTGCTCATCTTTTCTCTGTGTCCTCACCTGGAGGAAGGGGCGAGGGAGCTTTCTGGGGTCTCCTTCTATAAAGACACTAATCCCATTCATAAGAGCTCTGACCTCATTACCAGATAACCTCCCAAAGGCCCCATCTCCTAATGCTATCTCCTTGGGGGTTAGAATTTCATCATATGAATGGGGGGAGGGACACAAATATTCACTTCAGTGCAATATATATGTATGCACACAGATGTATAGATTTGGGGTGTTATGTTTTGTTAGCGTGACATTTAAGGCATATGTGTTTCCGTCTGGATTTTCTTCCCCTTAGTAATGATGCATTTCACACTCATATTGTTACTTAGTGCTGAGAGATGTTAGTTCCTCTGCCTTTGTTTCGTGTTTTACTCCTCGTATTAGGAAAGCAGCGGCACACTTTTACGTGGACCTCTGACAGTTGAGGAAAGAAACCTTGGAATCGCCTCATTCATTTACACTTCCACGCAGCGGGTGTTTATTGAGGATCTACGGCGTGTCGGCCACATGGAGGGTTTCAACCCAGTCTTGTCACCCTGTTCTCACTCTACTCACCAGGCCTCCTCACTTCTCTCTGCAGGCACCACAGTGAGCAGAGCAAACAGCTGCCAGTCTGACAGCAGTGGGTTCCTGGAGGAGCCACCGGACCCGCCAGCCCTGCAGGTAGGGGCCGTGTGGGGGCTGGGAGAGGATTGAAGGACGTCGAGATTGAAATGTGCTGCCACAATTGGGAAAGGCACCCAATGCTTAGAACACATGAGCCACAGGCACCCAAGGGACAGAGGACATTAAACGAGGAGCCAGAAAGCTCAGCATCCCTTTCCCTTTTAGTTTCTTTTGATTTTACTAAACAAAGAAGCTGAGCCTCATAGGAAGAAGGTCCCAGTTAAAGTAGGAAACTGATGAAAACTGAGTGTGTAACCCTTATCTCCTGACTCAATGGTAATGATAAGGAAAAAAAAGAAAGCACTTCTTACACCTAGCGCCTTCCCGCTTCCTGACCCCTTTCCCTTCATCCTTGTTTCTTCCACAGAGGCCCTCCTTGCCTGGAGGCCCAAGTCCTGCTGAGAATGGAAGTAGAAAGCCCAGGGGTCAGGGCCAGCACTCAGGGGCACTCCAGGACTGCCAGCCAGAGGCAGGCGAGTCTGACTCCACGAGTGTGGTGAGCACAGCTTCTTCCGGTCAAGACTGGAGTGTCTTAGAGGACAAGTCTTCAACAGCTGTGGTGGAGGAAGAGTCTCAGCTCGAGGCCACGGGGGGACCACTGGAACGGTTGGCCTCAGATATGGCCCTGGACGTGGCCAGCACTGGGGGAGAACACCCCAGGAAAGACAGCCATCAGTGGCAGCCCCCGCCCGTGCCCCACACCCAACGTGAGGACAGTGTCGGCACGACGGCCTCCAGATGTGACCATCCTCTGGAGTTTATGGTGACCCACCTCACAGAAGGGAAGGATGGGTTCCTGAGGCCGGAGGGAGCTGGGGGCCTGTGCGTGCAGAGCCTCCACTGTGAGCCTCAGAGGTCACCTGGAGTGGGTCACCCTCAAGACAAGTTCCTTCATGTTGACTCTGAGGCCCCAAGAGAAGCAGAAAGCTGTCAACTCTGTCCTGACATCAACAGCACCTTCCTGACTCAGCAAGTCCCCAAGCCCGACGAGGCCATGCCCCATACAGTTGACCTTATTCAAACATCTGAGAAGTCCGTTCCGCACCCCAATAAGCTGCCTGGAGGTACCTCTCCCCAAATGAAGCTAAGGTGTAGAGCCTGGGGTCACATACCACCCAGGGCAGAATCTGAGATGGGAACCCTTCCTTCAAATGCTGACTCAAGCGCTGTCAGCTCCGAGTCTGTGACAACCCAGATGTCCTGCAACCTGGTGTCAGCTGCTCAGAATGCTGTGGCCTTGGGGACTGATTCTAGAAGAACAGCTTTAGAATGCACTGTGTGTGACCCTGTTAGCACAGCAGAACCTGTCCTGGGGGCCGAAGCCAGGCAGTTCAGTGATGTCTCTGTTCAGACTTATTTGTGTGAGCCCAGGTCCTGGCATCGCTGTTCAGCTCCAGGAAACGAGGCCCGGCCCCTCACCAAATCTGTCTCTCTAGACACGGGCTTCCCTAGTCCCTGCCCAGAGGACATCTGCCATGCTGCACCTGTCCCCTGCTGTGACTGCTGTCATCACCATCCCCACTGCCACTCGGCCTGCGGGCATGGCCCGCGCTGGCACGGTCACCCAGAAGCCCAATTCATGAAGACTGCGGTGCGGGAGCTGTGCTCTGTAAGTATTCACCCCTGCAGGTCGGGGAGGCAGACGAGGCCACACACACCCCTCAGGGATGCCGTCTGGCCTCCCTTTCTGAATGCAGGCTCAGGGCACACCTTCTTGTTGCGGACCAGGAGTAGTATTTGCAGAGTGCTGTATGATTTATGGTATCTTCTCACAAATCTCTCCTTATGTCATACTTTGCATTACCTTGTGAAGTAAAGAAGGCCACCTTTCTTATTAATTCCCATTTTACAGAGGGCTGTGGTACCCTGCATAAATTCACGTGTAAGGTTATAAGTACGAGTGCATCTGAACGCCATCTTCCATTCAGTCTAAGGAACCAGTTCTCTATCTTACATCCGCGTAGCTGTATAATCTTGCACGAGCCCTTCAGTCTCTCTGAGCCTATTTGGAGTCGCCCCAACTGTATGGAGAGATCTGGCCACTAGAAATAGACGTTCCTCCTGATTGGAGTCTATGACATATCGCACTTCTGCGGAAAATACAGGGGTTTGCGGCCCATCGCCAGACTTGCGTATAGCTTTTAAATGAACGGGAGTTCGGATGAGTGTGCCTGTCACCGTCCCATGTCTTCCGGTACCTCATCTCACATTGACTCAGCCTTCTCTCCTCTTAGAATTTGCAATTATACAAAAAATGGTACTTTCATATCAAATTGATTTGGCATTATACACCTGCTGAAATGCATAATACATGGGTCTTACTAGAGACAATGCATTTATTTCTCTTAATTTAAATCCAAGGAACCACAAACACACACTCAAAGGAAACAATCAAAACACACATACCTGTGCATATCTGTACTCCTGTGCAGGTGTACATACACTCACACACAGAGAGAGAAAAGCAAGTGAAACTAATGTATTTCATTCACCCATAAGAACAGGCTACTTAAATAAACTAAGGAACAAACTCAAGAACAAAGAGACAAAACATCTACAGTGAGCGAGCCTGGGTGTGTAAAGTCTGAAAAATATCCTGGAGAAAAATGGCTCTAAGTTAGATGTTAGGTGCTACCTAGGGGAAGAAAAATTAATGATCAATGAAGAAGTTATCTAGAACATAGGTCTTGAACCAAGTGAAAATTATAGGCAGTGACAGATACCATCTCTTACATGACAATGGGAGTTCCAAACAGGTGTGGAAATTAAGAGCATTGCAGGTTAAAGGCTCAGAAGAACACCCCTCTGCCCCCTTTACATAGAAGGATGTAATAGTGCAGGGAAACACTAGGCTGATGAATGCCATTTGTGTGGTCTTGTGCGTTACCTAAGACAATGGTTTACTGACATAATTAAATTATTATATAGAAGTGAATTCTTCACAATGATTTGTTAATTTTTTGAAGATTTTTCAGAAAAGGAAATAAGATGTAGCAGAAATTAGATTTTTGGATATTAGAAAATTCTTTTTTAATGTTCATGACTTAGATTTAAAGAAAGAGAAAAGCATACACCATTTAAAAGGTAATATGAGCCATTTCAAAAGTTCGTTGCTGTTCAGTGATGTTGTATTATATATACCCAGATCTTATATTGCAAAAAAGAGTTCAAAGCAGTCCCTCCCCCTTTTTATTTTATTTTATTTTTTGTTTACGGTTTCCTTTTTTCTGCAACTACTTCAATACTTGTTCTAGAGCCAAAATGTATATTTAGTGTTTCCAAATGACCAGAAGATGGCAGTGTTTCAGAATTTTCCATGTCATTCCCTACACAGGGAGCCATAGGCCATCTATCCCAGCCCCCATACCTTCCAATCACAAAAACTCAAAAAACTAGATGAAATCTAAAAGTCAATGATTACAATGTTCAGCCTACTTGAGTGCCATATTTCCATGTCCCTGGCCTCCCTGTGCATAGAATGTGGTCACCTTATAGGAATCTAGTGGTACTACTCATCAGCTCACTCTCAAGGGACAAATAACTTCTCCATGTGGCCAGCCACACTGTAGTCCCTACTGTGACTCAGAACAGAAATGAGCCAGGAGGCTTGGCTTTGAAACCTGACTGTCGTTTTTTGACCTTGAACACATTAGCCATTCTGCCACGATACTTGATCTCTGAAGTCCTTCATGATCTCTAAGACCTTTTCTGATTTGAAGAGCCACAATCGTAGTCACCTTTCAACACTTGCCAACACCAGTGATGCTTCAAACACTCCTCTCACTGATTCCAATGCACTCACACTGAAGCAAAAGTAACTAGGGATTTTGCTACACAAAATAGGTTATTCGGCATAAAATTTAGAAGATAAAAAAAGAATGAAAACCCAACTCTCCAAGCAAAATGATGGAGAGTTTTCAAAATAAAAATATCACTCTTAGGAAAATATTTTCATTATGACAATTCTGATAAGAAAAAAAAATAGCCATCGGGCTGCCAGGATGTTGGCCATGTGGTTTTGAGGAGAAGGTAAGAATCTGGGACTTCTTAGAAGCAGGTCTGGGAGGAAGTAGCAGAGCTGTAAGGCAGGTTTCCATGGAAGGAAGAAGAAAAGGTTAAAAGACACCTACCTGAGAAATCAGCTTCTTTAAAGAGCTTCCCAGAATCCCATCTCCATGCTCTCCACTTCCACCTCATTGCTATCTACATGCCAGGAATGCTGAGAAATGGAGTTTCTTACTTAGACACATTGCTGACCCTAAGCTATTGGAATTTGCTAGTAAGAATAAAGTGGAGAAAGATAGTGAGTAGGCAACTAGCAGCCTCTGCCATGCCCATCAGGAAGGGGGTCCAAACCCATGGCCTGGTGGAGAGAGCATTAGGCTCCAACTAGCATGTGCATCACTCAAAGTCAGATGGGTAGGGATGCTGAGGTTTTAGATTATGGACCCATTCAAAGCATGGTCCAACCTGGGCTGGAAAACAAGCGATAGCCGGTAAGAACTCAGCACATCAGCAGAGTCCCTGACAAATGGACTGGGCTTGGTGGCTCTAAGAAGATAATTAAGTAAGGACACCAAGGCAGAAGCACAGACATGCAGAGAAAGGAAGATGTAAAGGATGATTCCCATCAGGAGTGATGGGGAGCAGGATTGGGGGGACAGTCCAATCCTAGATTCCACTTCGTGGGGGGATGGGATGCCCACCTGTGCCTGCCTCTTTGTGGATGGCCTTCTTAGCTGCCTGGAGATGGTCCTCCGATTTCAATCACCAGGGACTGTGGTGAAGCCAAGCTAAGACTAAGAAAAATTTTCTTAGAAGACTCTCTAATTAAACATAACCATCTGAACAGATGTGTTCAATGTTACAGAGGCTCAGAGTGAGGCAGCACTCAGCAACAAAGTGAAATGAGAAAAACTCCACTTTTCTAAATGCAAGCCTGTACTCTAGCCCTCTGCACTCCTCTCCTTCATCTACCATATGGGTGGGGAACGTCCAGCCCATGGGCCATATAAGGCCCAAGAAATCATTTGGTCTGGCCCTGCCAAGGCGTTAGGGGTGAGTTCATTAAATGTTTGACCAAATGAAGCAGGCTAATTTTTAAGTTGATAATTTTGTATGGCCGGCAAATGATGTTATAAATATCCAAATGGCCCTTGGCAAACAAAAGGTTCCCCACCCCTGCTCTACACTCTCCCATCCCAGTATCAGCTAGTTCTCCAGACTGTCTTCCCATCTCCAGGACAGAATGTCTCCAGAGCCATCCAACAGCTTCTACCCTCCTGTCCCAACCAAGTACTACCTCCAGCTGCTGGGAGAAGCCCAAGGCGGCCTTTCCCTCTTCTCTTCCCCGCACATTAGCAGTGGGGCAAAGCGGTGAACCTGGTGGGATGGCGGGCCCCACCCTGGCACACTCCTGCAGTGAATCAGGACTCCCTCCTGAGCTCTCTCTGCTGGTTCTCAGCACACAGCCCGGGAGACGGAAGCAATGAGGACGCTCTGCCAGTGTTTCCAGGAGCACTTGGAGGAAATGGAAAAGCACCTCACAGGGCAGCAGGCCCTCTTTTCCAGGGACATGTCCGAAGAGGAGAGGTAATTATCCGAGGGAGCCATAAGAGTAAGTACCAACCCGACACCTGAAGCAGAAAGGTGATCAGGGCAAGACAGATGAGTGCCCCGGAGCGGGGCTACTGAGAAACTGGCCAGCTTCTCCTGGCTCTCATGTTTTTCTTCTCCTTTTCTAAGTGGGAGTCTGTGAGAGCCATTTGCCAGACAGCAACGCTTACCCTTGATGGCCACGGCTCTCTGAGGTCAGAATGCGGGCAGCAGCTGGGAAGAGGGGGCTAGCTAGTAGGACATCTTTAATCAATGCCAGTGGGACTCGTGTAAATGCAGATGTCGGAGTTTTGGGGGTTTTGAAAATCTGCATTATTTTCACATAGATTAAAAGTATGTGATCCAAAAGTAGATGAGTAGTTGCCTGAAGCTGAGGGACTAGGGATTAGCGGTACAAGGTCATGACGGTTCTTATTGGAAGATGCAAGTGTCCCAAACCTGGATGTTGCCAGTTACACAGCTTAGCAAATTCCCTACAAATCATTGAATTGTACTCTTAACATAGGTAAACTTCATGGCATGTAAATTATCCTGTAGTAGAGTTGTTTAAAAAGAAAAAAGAAAACCTGCCCTAGGAATGTGCCCGTGTCTGCAACTGATACAAATGAAGAAGGTGACATTCTCCTGTAAGAAATAGCAAAAGCATGACCTACATTTTGGGAGGAGCAGTGGGAGACGGCCCTTGAATGGGGGTGGCTGTGGAATTTGGTTTTCTATTATGTGCCTGCAGGAAGGAGGCCGAGCAACTGCAGACTTTATGCAAGGCCCTGCGGCAGCAGGTGGAGGAGCTGGAGCTGCAGTTAGGATACCGGGCTCAGCAAATCAGACAAGGGATCCTGTTGGTACGGCATGAGGGCGTGTGGGGCTGGACTGTATCCTGCCCCCTGTAGGAGGGTGTGTTCGGTGAGAAACCTGATTGTGCAGTCATTTCTGACTCCAGGCTTATGTGCCAGCACCTTCATTTTCAATATAAAGACATTGATGTCCAGAGAAGTACATTGCTCTGCTCAAGGCCACGTGGCTGGTGAGGGTGACTCAGGATGAGAACTCGGGGCCCCTGACTCCCGTGCCAGCCTTTCTCTCTGCCCTGTAAATTCCAGATAAGTATTATTAGCCCATTTTCCAAATGAGAACAAGAGACGCAGCTTTGGACCGAACAAGGGCTGAGTCACTGCCAGAATCTGCTGCTGGCCAAGCCCACACTAGAGAATTCACCTCCCACAAATGCCTTCCCACAGACTAAGTTAGGTGTTTGGTGTAAATAAGATACATTGTCCACTCTTTCTGTCTCTGTTTTTCTTTTAGCAGCTTGATCTTCTCACAGGAGAACCACCTGCATACGATACAAACCCGCACCTTTATGACTGGACAGAAGAAAAGAATGGCCAGATTTCACACACCCACATCCACCCAGCCATGGCCCCTGGGGCTGCCTTTCCTCCGGACGATGGCCAGCAGGCTCCCTGCTCAGGTAGGACCCATCTGGCTGCCTTCCTCTCCCACCCCACCTAGGAGAGCCGCCCTGGGATATCTCCTCCAGCCCGGGAAGAGTTAGGTCCAGCCCCTTCGTCAAACTGTCCTGCTGGAGAGAAGGACACCAGTGTCTCCCTCTAGATCAGAGTGTGTTTGATGGCCCTCCTGCAAAATGTAAGAGCACATTCTAGCCAGAGCAAGCCTCTCTCAACTTTCCCTGAGGAGAAGTGTCTGTCAGCCTTTCATGGGCTGTTTTATTTTTATTTTTAAATATTTTACTTGATGGCTAAACCCAGGAGGAACTCAGAATCTTTTAATTTCCATTCAATACAGAATAAGTGAGCACCTACTATGTGCCTGGCACAGGTAATCTGTGCTGGCCAACATGTATACAATAAGTCCTCACTTAACATCATCAATAGGTTCTGAGACTTTAAGCAAAATGTCATATAATGAAACCAATTTCACCATAGGCTCCTTGGATAATAAGAGTTAAGATCCTATGGCATTTAATCAACGTCTTTATTGAAATATAGAGAACTGCTTTGCTTTGTATAAAACAATGTTATGTCCTGGGATTTCTCTTCATTATGCTCAAAGTGAGACACATCTACATCTGTCTATGAAAAGTCACAGTCCACTATGTCATATAACATTCTCTTTATTAAGACACATGTTACGGACTTAATTGTGTCTACTGCCACCCGCCCCCCCAAATTCATATGCTGAAGCCCTAGCCCCCATGTACCGTAATGGCATTGGGAACTAGGGTATTTAAGGAGATAATTAAGGTTAAATGTGGTCACAAAGGTGGGACCCTAATCCAACAAGACAGGTGTCTTTATACAAAGAAGGAGGCACACCAGCGACCCCTCTCTTCCCATTTGCACAGGGGAAAGGCCATGCGAAGACCCAGAGGAAAGGCAGCCGTCTACAAGCCAGGAAGAGAATCCTCAGCAGAAACCAGCCCTGCTGGTACCTTGATCTTGGACTTCTGGCCTCTAGAACTCTGAACAAGTGAACCTCTGTTGTCTGAGCCGCCCGGATGGTGATGTTCTATGACGGCAGCCCAGATTTCCGTTCTGAGAAGTGGGGTGCTGCTGTAACAAATGACCTAAAAACATGAGAGCAGCTCTGGAGCTGGGCAAAGGGTTGGGACTGGAAGAGTTTTGGGGTGCCTATCTCTTCAGAACAAGCTTTCTCCATCTTTGCTGGGTGGTGGTCTATCCTGTTCAGTTCTCAACGCCTCGGTATGTTGCTTATGATGAAGTCCTATGCATCATAGGTCATGATGGGTCCAATCCTTTATATACAGATTGAAAGGATCCCTTTCTCTTGCTAGCTCCTCTCTGTGAATCCCCCCCACCTTCTCTGACTCCTACGGGTTCCTTTTCCTGGCTCTGCCTACAGAACCCTGGTTTTAGCATCCATGCACGATAATGAACTTCCTGAAACTGGGTCTACCTCAGGGAAAAGCAGCAAAACAAGAGCCTGCCAATTCCCCACTGCTGGAGTTGCTACACCCGACGCCACCTTCACGGCTGCTGCCATTGCCAGTGCCAGGGGGATGTCACTTCCTTGAGCATGCTGATCGTAGGGCTTAGAGGGGAGAGATCTCTTTCCCCATCAGCTCCTTCCCCAATCCTCTAGCTCAGTGGTCGGCAAACTACGGCTCGCAAGCCACATGCGGCTCTTTGGCCCCTTGAGTGTGGCCACAAAGTTTCAATCGCACTGTACGTGCGCGCCCGCACATGCTATTTTGTGGAAGAGCCACACTCAAGGGGCTGCAGTTTGCCGACCACTGCTCTAGCCCAAGAGAGAGGATTTTTCTTGAGTTTTTCTTTTTCTGTTTCACAGCTTCAAGATTCAGGCTGCCCTAGAATCTAAGCCAGAAAAAAGGGGAGGAAAGAAACGCATCTCCAGGAGCTGGTTCTTTGAGTTTTTTATTCTCTTCCCCAGTTGACTTGCTACTACATACTTTTAAGAGTCTTCAGGTAGTTGCTCTGCATATACTGAGTAGGACTTTTCATTATAATCAGTGGGAAAGAAAGGGAGGAGCACTTACTCTATCTTAATCAGAACTGAAATTTGCCAACCTAAAGTGATGTTAATATTCGCATTATCGTAAAAGATGCTAAATGTAAGTCATAGAGAACAACAAACATGATAAAATCATTATCCCCATTTTAAAGATGAGGAATCAGAGACTTGCAGGGACTACGTGGCTTGCTCAGTGTCACACAACTGGAAAACCAGGCCTGAGCCTGGGCTGGCCTGACTGCAGCACCGCCACAGCTCTGCCACGTGCCCGAGTGGGGCCAGAGCTGCAGACGCTCGGATTACATGTGAGGATCAGGCAGTCGTCCTCTCTGAGGCCTGTGCTTTCCTAGCTTTCAGCATCGATTAGGTCAAGTTGAAAGATGTGCTTATGCACAGGGCAGGTTGGGATTTAATATCGCTTTGTGTTGGTTATTGGGCAGGTGTTTGTTTAAAGAAAGTGGAAACAGGTGTGTGGGCCCTGATTCAATTACATGATGGAGGGGAACACACTGATCCATGGCCATTTTCAAGGAGAGATGCTGATTGTGCTAATTAATCATTTGTCTGTCAGGACATAATAGAAACTGATGTTCCAGTTACCATTGGAATGGAACACAGACTCACGTGTCTGGCTCCCCAGCAACCAGATGCAACTGTTTATGATGACAGCAATGAAGATGCAGTACCTGAATCCTCCTGGATTACCAGGTCTGAGATGGTCTGAAGGAAAGGTGTTTTATAAACTTGTGCCAACAGCACGGGACATCATCTAACAGGAATTGTCTCTCAAAGGAACTTTTCCCTTCAAAGAGATTTATTGAGACCTTTTAGGTCAGGATAGCATCCCAGAGATGGGGCTGAATGGAGTACTTTCCATGCTGTGTGGCACAGCACTCAGTCCACCTCACCTAACCAAGACATCTATGCTCAGAATGGAGTGTCATCATAATTCTGAGTGGTCTTTTAAAAACATAAATCAGGTACTTTGCTCTCCCACATAAGAATCTCCAGTGACTTTTCAGTACATTTAAAATTAAATCCCGACTCTCTACCAAGATCTACAAAGCTCTACACAACCCCACCCTGCATCCCTCTGTGACCTCATATCATACTGCTCTCTCCCTCTCTATCTCCCTCTTACTGTGATTCATTTTTTGGATCTTCTTGCTAATTCCTGGTCACCTTAGGGCATTTTTACTTCAGGAACATTTTGGGTGCTGTTCCTTCTTTGCATTTTCTGTTCCGCTTTCCCCAAATATTCAGATGGCTGGGATCTTCTCATTCGGATCTCTGTTCAAATGCCACCTCTTCAGAAAAGCTTCCCTTAACAACCCTAAGCAAAATGGGGCTTCTTCCTGTATACATTTCTATTTATTTTCTGCCCACTTATCTGGCTTTGTTTTCTTCATAGCATTTATTACGTGGATTTTTATTGCTTTATTTGTTTACTTGTTCAGTGGCTGTATCCCTTCCTAGAATGTAAACTTTATGGGGAAGAGACTTGTCTGTCGTCATCTTTCCATATTTTATCCCCAGGCCTAAAACATAGAAGAATTTGATGAGTGAATGGACAAGAGAATTAATTCACTCATTCATGAACATATCAACACTAATAAACATTGGGTATACATAAATAAGACATAGTCTAATCCATCTAGGAATTTTTAGTTTGGGGAGGAAAACACACATAGCTAAGAATCTCTTCATGTTACTTTGTTTATACCTTTCAGAAACTCCCCATCAATAGCAAGGTTTTTGAGTCTGGGATCATCAGTTTCACCAGGCAGTGGAGACATTGAGAAAAAAATTATTAGGACAACATGGCAAGTCTTTAATAAAGTTAATGCAACCTAAGCAATAGTGTTCTCACTTTTGCTTCAGAATTCACCTCCTTTTAAGTTAGAGGAGTTGTCTCTTGGTTGCAGGGAAGCCAGCCACCAAAGACCATGTATTTTATGGTCTCACTGATATAAAATGTCCAGAATAATCAAATTTGTAGAGACAGAACATAGACTGGCGTTTGTCTAGGGCTAGACAATGAAGCAGGGGAATGGACGTGACTGCTAATGATGGTGCAAGATTTCTTTTGGGGGTGATGAAAATATCCGGAAATTAGATTAGGGTGATGACTACACAATACTGAACATACACTAAAAACCATTACATTGTTCACTTTCATTACAGTGTATGTAAATTATATCTCAGCAAAGTGCTGAAAACAAATAAGGCAAGCAAGCAAACACCTGAGTCAGAGTGTCTCCTGAGAGGAAAGGGCAAGTCCATCACCTGTATTTGCTGGGACTGAATTTGCCCAGAAAGAAGGTGAGGGTGGAGCCAGCGGAGGAAGGAGGAAGTAGGGACCAGGTCCGATAGGGGCTCTAGCCATGGCTGGGAGTTGGATTTTATTTTGAGTGTAGTGAGAAGCCATTGAAGGGTCTGAAGTTGGACAGTGACAGGATGTGGTGCACATTAACATCCTATAAGAATGCCTTGTGTGTGGTTGACTCCAGGCACGAAAGGACACAGTGAGACCTACTATAGTAATATGGGCAGCACTCAAACTGTAATAGATTTATTTTATTCTCTTTCTCTCCTCTTCTTTTCATCATAAACAAAAAGCAAGGTCACTTTATATTTAGCAGAAAACTCCTCATGAATTGTCCCAGAAAAAGACACTAGCCAAAATATCCGAACCCCTATTAACCTTTAGTACCTTAAACAAGCCGTACATCACTGGTCACAAGAGAACAATCTATTAATAATGAAAAATGTAGACTACTCTTATATAATTGGTCCTTATAGAAATGGTATTATCCTAATTTAGCATCAAAACCTGCTTTTCATTCCAAATAGCACTATCAAAGTAAAGCACAGGCCACATATTTGTCTATCAACTCTATACCAATTTCCTGGCTCACAGCAGCCAATGGTTTTCCTACATCACAAACCAACTACAGTCTTCAGTGCTATATTTGGAAAAGGAACAATAAGGCATCTGTAGAAAAACAGCATTTGCATTAGACTCCACTTCTTGTCTAAGGGTTTATTTTCATGGAGCAATCTCAAGTGGGTGGCAAAGAATAGACAGGCTTTGTTAGACCATTACTCATGTAATGAGATTTGAGGTCCGCTATTCAACACATTTTTCAATGGGCACTTTCCCCAGGGCTGAATTGCTGCCTACAGACAGTTTGATTACCAAATACAATTTTAAAATAAAAGAGTACAAAATGCCCCTTCTCTTCTCTGGCCCCCATCCTTCCGAGTTTGTCAGTTTATCTCATAGAGGAAGTTTGGTCAGCCAGGGACTATGCTCAGCCTTGGAATGCCTGACTCCTTTAGCCATCCTCCCTCCTGTGACAGGTCCCAAGCTATTACTCCCGTTGACCCAGGTATTTCTGTCAGGAGCCAGTTGACCTTGAAGTATGAGTGATTTGACACCTTGTCTTTCAGTCAGTTCCAAACATTCATACACCACATGCCCACTTCTCCATAAAGTTGAGAGACTTTACAATCCCCAGACCCATTGGGGATTGTAATGATCCTTCATGAGCCTGTTTATCAATTAATACCTGCTCCTGCTTTGGCCCAATTTTTTTCCAGGTTCTCTCCTTTATGATCCTGCACATCTGACTGTGAACTCTGTTTTGCCTTTCATTTCTCTAACTGGTAACTATTGACCGTTAGAGCTTGGATTCTAGAGAAACCGTGCTGCCCTTTAAGAAAGACTACAGGTAACTAGAACTTCAGGCCCAAGCCCTGTGGTTTTTGTGGCTTCTCTTGCTTGTTCTCATCGTTAGGATCTTGCAGTTTTCTGCATCCTAACTGGTAGCAGAAGTTGCTCCCCATCTGTGGGTGTAATGAGTACATATTGAAGGTTCAGTGATGACATAAGCTTCATGGAGCTATCGCCTCTTACTAGATGTTCTCACGCATGATTTTCAAAGTTCCACTGAGTCACCAAATATAGATTTTTGTCTACGTTGATCCAGAAGGTTCCTATTTGACAAAATTAAACTTGATTTTATCATTAACAGGAATTTGAGGGGTGGGTATATGAGGCAAAGGAAAAGGGAAGAGGGTGAGTAGGTGTCTACTATAAACCAGGCACTGTGTCACATACCTTTATGCTATTATCTCTCTTAAAACTCATCACAACTTTGTAAGACAGATATTACTATCTTCCTGTTACAAGTGGGAAAATGGGGTCTCAGAGATTAAATCGTCTGTGGTCTCCCAGAGTGTAACTAGATATGATAGCATCTAAGCCCAATTCTCTATGCTTTCAAATCGTGTGCTTTCTTTCTTAGTATAGTATATGCTTGAGACAAGAATGTGTGTGGGGCACAGGGAGGAAATTATGTAGGCAGGTAGGAGAGGTAAGATGGGATCAGATCAAGTGAGTTTTGATTGAAGGCATAGGTAGATGCTTGAAATTGACCTCGAGGGCATTTGCTATCAATTCAGGTTCCTGGATTGTGATGGGAATTTAAGAAAAGTCTTTCTGGAAACACTGAGGGACATAAAGGCTGGCTGACTTATTCTCCCCACAGTGTGCCCCCCAAATGCAAACCCAAATGAGCGTGCAATCTAGCAATAACCGTGCACTTGCTTTGCAAATGCAGCTTACAGGCT